GGATTTGTGGAGTCGCTTTGTAGCATTCACTCAGAGTTGAGCAACAATCAATGAATATCCAGAAAAGTTCAGTACGACGTGTTCAAAGAGAGGATGGATATTCAGTTCCTGTAAACAAGATGCAGATGAGAGATTTGCTCCCCTGTCCAATAATCGGTAACTGATCAAGTGGCATTTTCTAATACATAACTCGGCAGCAAAGGCCGTCTTCCTTTCACCAGCGACGATCAAACGTTCATCGAGACCTCTTTAGGTTTGTTTACAATTACTAGTATGGGGCGGATTTTGTTTGGGCGGTTCTCGGTCCCTAACAAACGTCTTTACCCTTCGAAACAATGCCTGGCGCTAAGCGGACACCCGAACATATTGCAGAACACTTGGCTTCGCTTCACTCTTTTGATCACGCTGAAGCCGAATGTTGAATGTGACCAATCTAGACTTGATAGGGCTACTAACGGAAGCTGCAAACTAGTTTAGCTTGACTTGCAACTTACCCTGTAACCCCGCCTATAACTGCGTTGTGCTGTCCGGCCATTTTGTTGGGGAGATAGGACTCGGGCCTTTTCAGACAAACCAATATACGGCGTAACCCAATAAGATAAGAGCAACCTGTCTCCCGTAAAGCAGGTTGTCAGTACAGCTACAATCGACCTTTTTCCAACTCTTCTTTTCAACCGTACAGTGGAGGAGTTCCAGTACATGGACCAATATGTTCTATTCTTGATTTTCGCAACAGAAAGCTTCTGCATCGATCTACATCTGAAGTAAGTGAGAGCTCAACGAGTGCGTCAGAGAAAATGGACAGCGACTGACCTACGATGATTATCGCTGGATTCTGATACATACAGGTGAAAGGAAGAAGGTTTTCGCTGCGGAGTATTAGAAAAGAAAATACCAACTGACTAGTTACAGACTATTGGACAGGCAAGCAAAACTCTCATTTGCATTTTATTTACAAAACTGGGCATCCATCTTCTCCTGAACGCGTTTTCTTGAAGTTTCCTAGATATTCATTGACTCCAATCATTCTTTGCTCAAATCCAAGCAAATGCTACAAAGCGTCTCCACAAATTCTGCAACAGATATCCGTTTTCAAGAGACGCAAAGCGAATTTACAAGAAAAAAAACATACTACTCGCATGCCTCCCAATCAGCAGTATCACCGTTACACAGGTATCACTGATGACTTGTCCCTTTGAATGCCATGTCTCCATTTTACTCGGGCATCTTGAGTATCTTGGTCAAATGCTCCATCACAGGAAGAACCTGACCAGCACAATCCTCATAACTACTTGGACACGACAGTCCTGATAAAGAGTCTGGATAAGATCATCCACTTGATCCTTTGTTAACCCACTTGCAAGACTAGTCGAGCCTAAACTGTTGGAGTCGATGTACCAACAGAGTCGTAAGATTTTGTGCACGCCTAACCGTACTGAGTTCAAATGCAGAAAACTGGAAACTCTATCGTTAACATTTACCTCGAAAAAGGTATCATTTGTACAAAGGAATACCGCCCTAAAGCTGATATCTAATAGAACTAACCTAAGGGCATCACAAAGAGAGGTAATGAACAATACGCACTATTCATCAAATACCGATGTGGGCAAAAGCGCTCGTCTGCAGTAGTTTCTGAAAACCGTCCCCAAAACAAACACCACCCTCACATTTCCTTTATAATGTAAAATAAGAGAACGTTGACAAAGCCTTTGGGTTCACGTTCTGATGCGAATTTACACAGCAATGAGAGATTCTGTTTTTTCACCGACTTGGTCACAGATACTCCAGGTGCCCTAATCCATGGGCATATTTTCTGGAATAAACTGTCAGTTACAATCTGATAAGATTAGCGGTTGATGGTAATAACCCGGAAGCTCCATCGATTAATTTGCGTGAGCACTTGCTTGTTCTCGGTCGAAACACTCATTGGACACGAAGAACGGCATTTTATGCTCACTGTTGAAAATATGCTAGGGACCGAAAATGTCAGACGAATGCTGACCAAGATCGATGCATGACTAAGGATCTCAGTGTGCATCCAGCCAAGTGGTGTCTATCAAAAGAGAAACTAAAGTACCTTAAAGGTGGTTTCATCGATAAACCAACTCTTGCGATACTATGGTTGCTGTCATTAGCGGCTGTTGGTAGCTAGCATAGGCTATTTGTACTCATCGTTCATTCGTCGTTGAGGGTTTCTATCATCAAACTTGTTGCTTCACTGTCGATAGTATTTGTCTTTTCGCGCCACTTCGAAGAAAAATCAAACGTGTCTTTTTGTGAGAACAGCATCAGTTTGTACAGAACGCGCAGATTTATAGTTCTGGGGATTGGTGCAATACTAATGGTAAATCACTTGACAATATTGCGTTGAATTTTCGACGTGTCCAGGTTTTTACCCGACCGTAAGAACCTTATGGCAACTCTCGAGTGTGAGGTGAAATCACATATGTATGAGGATCAGAACGTTCGCTAAATTTACAGGAACGGAGCAGAAAGAATCTGGCTTTGCTTGACTTCTATTGAACAACGTCGTATGAAAGGGGAATCTTCACGTTTTGTGGCGCTTCTCCGGAACAAAATATACGCACTACTTTCAATAATTGAGTAGCTAAACGAATCAACTGCATATTTAAGGTGAAGACGGTGAAAATGGATGAAATGTTAGACGTGATGTTTGTTATTCTGGCAACTTTTCCGAGTTCTCGTACCTACAGTAACATAAGCACTCTAGATAAGTCATCAGGACGACCTTTTGACACGATTTTTGCCTTCTGTCAAAGTTGTTGGGCTAGAAGCATCTCATGATCATCATCGGTTGAGACTAGCGTACGGATGTGGCTTGTTCACAGAACATTCCAGATATCTGGTGATGCCTTATGTAGAAACGGATTAAAAAACATTGATGCTACTGACGTCGTTGATTATGATGGTTCTTCAGGAGGGTACGTCTGCATGCGGCGTGCTTCACGTTTCAGGTCGATCGATTAACCAAAGATTACAGTCACTGGGATACTGTAACTTTAATCTCACGCAATGCATTGGGTCAAATAGGTCGTAGAATACGTGAAAGTTTCTGTTGATTCAGTATGGAAGTTTGCCTGGAAAAATCCCTTGTCTTCTTGACGGAACTTATTACTCACAAGTTGGTTAGAAATACATCGACAACCCAAGACCGGTTTAGTCATTTAGGGGATCCATCAGGTAGGCAAAGTCTCCAATCCTCCATCAACATTACGTCTCAGATGAACGTTAAATTGTGGGCAAGTGGCGAAAACCCTTCATTTGAAAATTACTTTGGTGTTGATGGGTGATTCAACTGAATCCCCCGTTCCAACTATCTCCCAACTGAATGCGATGCCCAAAAGTTGCCTCCCGTATCACTTGGGACAGTATTCAAGATACCAAAGTACATTGAAAGCGAAAAACTCACTTGAGTTTTCAGTTAACATCTACTTAAATTGCGAATAAGTGTATCTCACCAGCCATGTGGAATTTAATGTTCAAGGAGAATATGAGTTTGAGTTTTGGCGAGATGGCCGAAGTGGTTAGAGCGCGAATTTACTCACCGGAAGGTCCGTGGTTCGAACCCGACCTCTGCCCCTCGACTTTCCCTGTCTAGGCTTAGGCAACCTGGCTGTATCCCAGCCCTGGTGCAAACTTCGGGTGGTGTTCTCCAAAGCAGTGACGACTAGACTCAATATGTGCTTGTGCCTCCAGGCACAATGAAGTAAGGCGGAGCCGTTTCGCACACTCGTCCTGTAACTGACTCCGTTCTATACTGAACAGCCGAGAGTCACTCTACAGCTGTTTCATCTGTATTAGAAGTCATCAGCACAGCGAATCTCAGGAAGTCCCAGAGAGCCTGGAACTCGCCCTCTCGGTTGTTAGTTTGAACATCGTTCAGCTACGGGCAGCTGATCGGCAGTGTGAGCGGCTCGAAGACGGACAAGATCTGACGCTCCACATCACGTGGTTACACCTGTTGACTAGATTCTCAGGTTTAGGTTTCACTCATCGGGTTTCAACAGAATTTAAGCTTAAAAATCTGTTAGAGGTACAACTTCGCAAAAATGATACTAGTGAAAGGAAGAAGGCCTTCGCTGCAGATTTATTAGAAAATGCCAACTGACCAGTTACAGACTATTGGACAGGAAAGCAAAGCTTTCATATGCATCCTGTTCACAAAAACTGAACATCCATCTTCTCTTGAACGCGTCTTCCTGAATTTTCCTGGATATTCATTGACTGTTGCTCAAGTCCAAGTAAGTGCTACAAAGAAACTCCATAAATTCCGCAACAGATCTCCCTTTTCAAGAGACAAAGCGAATTTACAAGAAAACACTACTCGCATGCCCCCCCATCAGTAGTATCACCATTATACTGGCACATATATGGAGTTACTGGAATCCATAAACGTTAAGATTGGTGATCAAATGATGTGACGGTGAGAACCAACAAACGTCTTGCGCGGTTGTTCATTTTCCCAACCGCTGAACCACAGCCAGTCTACAAGCTACCATCTGTAAGTGCACCGTGCTAAGGCTTGACCGCCTCAAGCTCAAATGTTGTCCAACCTCGTCCAATCCAACGTTCTAAGGAAGCAGGGACGAGGTGGCCCAAGTGGTTAGAGCGCAGATTTACTCACCGGAAGGTCCGTAGTTCGAGCCCGACCTCTGGCTCTCGACTTCTGTCTAGGCTTGGGCACCCTGGCAGTATCCCAGCCCTCATGCTTCCTTCGGGTGGCATGGCAGCTAGGCACCGAAAGAATGCTACAGCTGAACGACTCTACGGGAGCAATCCATGAGATCCAACAAGGTTTGTAGATTCTGCAGGAGAGAGTGCAGAAGTTTTTATGTATCTGTTCTTGTGTTTAGATTAGGTCAGTTAAATAACTCAAAACAAATACGAATGCTTATCTGTCTGGTTCGAGCATCATTTGGTGATTACTGTCATAGTTAGTTAGTTAGTTCAGAGTCTGTCACAGGATTGGCATCAAACGAGTTTGGAAGGTTCTATCATACAACAACATTGGTCCTCCAGATAGACTGTTCTTGGTTCAAGTATTACACACAGTCGACGAAAACCAAGGGACTGTGCGTACTTGATGAGCCCCAAGAAATGTAGAACTGTTCACCAGATGAATTCTCGTCCACCATATGCGTAGTGCACTGTCAAGAAAAATGTCTTCTAAGCTCTTCTCTTTGAGAATGAAATCATGCAGAAATAAAATTAAAGATTATCAAGATGACGACTGGAAGGGCAGTGTGCAAATTCCTAAGCTGCAAAAAATAAGATAAGCAACAGTTGAATAAAGGAAATATTTTCGTTGGCGCGGTGAAGTTCCATCGAAGGGAAAGGAACGGGCTCAACAAACAAGCATGATATCGGACAATCGCAGAAATTATTGAAATACATACACAATATACATGGTTCGGTACTGGCAGAGTATACAACAGCGTAAATGCAGGATCATGAAAAATCAAGGTCATAAATGCATCGGAACAGCTTCAAGGATTAAAAAGTCAATAAAGATGATAAATGATAAACTCAAAGTGTTCACTGAATTCCCTAGGGATTCGCCAATTCGAGTGAGGGAGGAGAGGCGCTTTAGTGATGGAGACGATTTCGTGAAGGGAATCCGGTATCTTCGAACATCTCATGCTCCCAGAGGAAGTCAGTTAGTCGGCCTCCGCCGGCACTCCCAATACCACAACCATCGGAGTCTGCATCGGCGAAACTTTGGCTCAAGCCGGCGAACCCGGAATCGAACAGGTCGTCTGATGGCGGATTAGGTCCGGTGAGAGTCTCGTCGTCTGTTGGTGAGGTGAACAGGTTGGAACATGGTATTGCAGTTTGCGCAGGCACTGTGGGATGCATTCGATGAATACTGGTTGTGGAAAGGAGTTTATCGGAACATGACCACCGCTTGGACCGTACGGGGATCTTGGCTGAACCGTCGTCCCTACCCGACTCAACTTCAGTAGGTTGAATTGGAAGGTTAACTGCCGCACGGGGATGCCGTCTCGGTCGGACTGGGAATAAACTGACTTCGGTGAATCCGTCCTCTTCAGCCCGTCGACCATTTCGCCCATTCGTGTTGCTCACTACAGCTGGTACAGGACGAGTCGGGTTAATTTTCTTGCGTTGTGGTGACACGGTACCTGCGGGTTCAACACAAGCGATGACCACGATATGAGTTACTCATAAGACATAATGGTTTGTCAAAACGAGTGCTCAGGGTCACCTACGGGTACTTTGCATCTCTCCTCAGAGGAACTGAATAGTAAGTAGATAATTACACAGAAATCATGAGAAACAAATGTAACACAATGCGGAACGAGTTGCTGAGATAAGAAAATGTTAAGCATGGCAACAAAGGGTCTTAGTGAATTTAAGACATAAATAATGTGAGGAAAATTAGACTAATCAAATATTGTTCGGAGTGAACACAGGAAACTCCCTTACCAAAGGGTCGCAGGCCCCGATATAAACGCTCCAATAAGCCTAGTCTTACTGCAAGTATCCGAAAAATAAGACATCACTGTTTCACCAAAAATGTACGCGAAGCAGTTACTACGATCAAGTTTTTTTGGGAGGTGATGAACTCATGACAGGCTACATTGGTTAGACCACATAGTTCACATACCAGGGCAGATTTCGTAGTATCGGAGTATGAGTTGGATGGAAACGACCCGAAGTCAGTCAGACAAGGACCTGGTCATTGTTCGTGAAAACCTGAGCCACGCTGTGTTGATGACTATCGGTTCCTCAGTTGAGGACTACAGGACGATACATTAATGGACAGAGTCACTGACAATTATGGCCCGGTCACATTCACTGGAGTTTCTGTGGCACACCAATCGCCTCAGTGTGTCAACATTACCAACAGCGATACACCAAGTGATGCCTATGATATCACCATACGGAAGTAAATGGTGGAAATAAAGAGGAATTGGCATCAACATCGCGGGGACCCCCGAAAAATCGTTCAGATGTAGAACTTTTTGGTCCGAAAAATCGTTCAGATGTAGAACTTTTTTGGTGCGTAGCTACCATGACATCAGAAGGAAGCATGAGGGCTGGGATACTGCCAGGTTGCCCAAGCCTGGACAGGGGAAGTTGAGAGGCAGAGGTCGGGTTCGAACCACGGACCTTCCAGTCAGTAAATTCGTGCACTAACCACTTGAACCATCTCGCCCCCTGATGATGCATCTATAGCCATTTCTATCTCCCAATAACCGGATTATTTTCGAGTGGCGTTTTTCGTGCATGCGGATTTTGCTGGTATGTGGCTTTGACATTGGAAAGTCATGATATATAGATTGCAGGTAAATGCCAAATATTTTGCGAAACTATCAATGAATGGTTATGGTGCTATTTTCACATAAAGCCTACTGCTGTGGAATGTAGCCTACTGCCTATCACATTTAGGATAAGCTTTCGCTCCCAACAACTTGAGTTAGATGAATTCAGTCAGCGCTTCAACCGCCACACTCTTCCACGTGTCCCAACTAACGATGATCCACAACCCTCGCGTTTTTGAACTCAAGGGTATAGTCCATACGGTGGATCGATCAGTGCTGTTGAATACTCGCTTGACAGGAAGTGAACATAATCCGGTTCCTATATTCACATACTCCTGGGTATGTCAGTGTATGGTGAACTCTCTAGAAGCTTCTTTACGAAACTGGTGTCAGACCAGAGTGTCTACTCTCTCCAGCTTTGCACAACCTCGTCAATGAGGCAAACACCGGGCGGTCTTCAAAACCCCGATGTTCCAATTGTTGCTGCTGACAACCTTGTTGAGCTTCAGTACGCAAACGACATCGTGCTCATCCCCGAGGACGAAGGTGAAACACAAGCCTTGTTGAATAAACTGAATACCGTCATACTATCTCTAGGCATGCGCCTTGCGCCTCCTTACAATTCAAGGAGAATCATTCGAGATTGACAAGTAAAACACCATAAAAATGAAGTAAAATCCAGGCCGAAGTCGGCTTACATTAACAGGGCTACAGCATTCATTTATGGGTAGTCCAGCCAATATGATCCAATGGTATACACAACGGTACTAACCTAGCAACACATTCTGCATAAACGATAGCCTTAGCTGCAAATGCCTGTCAGATCTGGGTCTTTCGAAAAACTGCGACTACGCACATCTGGACAACAGAGCGCTGGTCGCTTCATATTACATGCACACGAGTGTGGACCGGGCCTCGCGATCAATGAAAGAAGTTGATTTGATATAATGTGGTGTACAACGATGATCGGCATCTTCAGGCTAGCACATAGTCCATAAATGCAGCTCCTATGCCGAATACTCTTGCTGGACATTTTGACAAGTTAGGGTGCATAATAGTGACATATTTATAGAACCTACCCGGTTCGTGATCCCAATCCAGCTCCATCGGGGATTCGGTATCCGAACGCCATACATTCGGTTGTACTGCAGAATAAAACAATGGAATATCAGGGGTGAGACTTTTACTGGCACAAAATGGCGAATGCCAATTTTTCCGGCTATAAAACATATCACAAGACATTCTCCTCCAACAAATTATTTATCGAAGTGAAGTGGATCATCTTCCCGAGAAATACACTCAGTTGCAAATCAATTCGGTTTTCACGAGAGACTCAACTGAATCTCTCGTTTATGATATTCTACAACTGAATGTGCGGCACACAGGCCACCTCATGTGGAATATCATAAACGAGAGATTCAGTCGAGTCTCTCGTGAAAACCAAATTGATTTGCAAATCAATGTATTCCTCGAAAACAGTCCAATTTGGGTTTAAGTAGAACATAAAGTTGACGGGAACTCGGGGACTGCGCCTACCTGATGAGCCCCAAGAAGAGCGAAACCGGTCGTGGGCTGTCGAGGAGTTTTCAGCAACATTGTGAGTAGCTTCCTTTATGAATCTTCTCTTTTCTGCCTCTTCTATTCCTATTACCTAAAACTCTTTGCATATGCGTTGAGTTCTGAAGAAATTAGGAGACCACGAGCAAGAACCATAACGATGAACGGTTAGGTGTATTTTGCCCATTAGCCTGATGTGCGGACTATGTCCTAAAACTCTTTGCATATGCGTTGAGTTCTGAAGAAATTAGGAGACCACGAGCAAGAACCATAACGATGAACGGTTAGGTGTATTTTGCCCATTAGCCTGATGTGATGAGCGGACTATGTTTTTTTTAATCGAAAATACAGTAAAGCAAGTCCATCGAAACCCATGAGAGGACCAATCGAAATTGTTCATTCAAGGAGGGATATTGCTGTAGATGGGCTTGTCAAAGAGGGGGCGGTATAAGCAACTGTTCACCTGTGGTATAGTATTGATTTGGTTGAAATGCTTGTCCACTTTTTAATCTCCAGACGGAAAAAATATAGCTGATGAAGCGGCCGCGGATTTTTTCTGATTGTTGTGTGTGGTGTCTCGTTCTTCAGGGAATAGAAGGGGAATTCGAGCACAACGACCATTGAAAGGATTGTCTGTAGACAGGTTTTACTGTAATTTGAATCACACTTTAACCCTGCCAACCATAAAAGTCAGTTGAGACCAATCCAAACATTGTCTAGGCGAGCTTAAAGGTTTCTTTTTTATATCGATAGATGTATACGAAAGACCGAACTCCGGTGGCCTTCTCCGACACTGCTCGGTAGCTGTCTATCATCCCTACCCAAAGCCATTTAGTAACAGCGAGTCACACTTTCTAAAGGCGGAGACGTGTTGAACTTTAACAGGTTATCCACTTGATCACAGAAGACTAGCTCAGGCGAGTCTTCTCTCAAAACCATATTGGTACGAAGGTGGGTGTGCAAGTCAACGAGCAAGAGTGTTTTTTTTCTGCTCAGCTAGTACCCGTGTTGGGATGGAGGAGGGATATTAGATGATAATGAATGTTTTACTGCACACAAAAGTCACAGTTCACATTGCTTTTGCTCAGTTGCACCGTTGTTTGCTCACGTACGTCATCCCTACGGTAGGTTTGTTTTTGTTATATTATTGCTTCACGTCAAACGGGTAAGAACTTTGTAAGTTTTCCTAACACACCGGTGAGGCTTGAAATTGTTTATTACGCACATCAATATCATTCTGAACGGATAAAATCCGAATATCACCATAAGACTTGGAAGAATGGGTCTATCAGTCTCCAGGGAAAGCCCTCTGGTCTTTGTGTGAACTGTGCCATGTAAACTTAAGTTCTTTATTCTCTCGATAAGTTGAAAATCTTGACTAGATGAGAAAAAAGTTTAATTATTTAGCCCTATCATGTGATCCGACGTGTTGCAAATATTTCGATACTATCTCCTCTTTTGGAAAAAAATTCAACTTGTTCAACAATTCCAAACGTTTGGAAAAAAAATCAAACTGGTCAACAAATTCCAAACGCAAAATTTTCATAGTTGAAATTTTTTTCTACTGAAAAACCGACGGAGCATCTTCGAAAAGCGGAGACTTCGTGATATGACGATTTTCCGTGAAAAGGTCCGCTTTCGAAACACAACTCAAAATAGAAATGAGTGCTAATAAGGATGAAATGTACTGCTCAGGCTCAGATTGTCCGTCTGTTTCACTTGTTCAGGTATTATGGGGTTATCTACTCTTTGACACGGGGTATTCACGGCGCAGTTGTGTGGTTTAGTACCAACAAAAACGGAAACACCAGGCTTGTTCACCCTCAAGGTCAGACATGTACCATCTGCTCGGCGAGAAGTTTGAAACTCTGGTCGAGTAGCCAGTGCAACTCGGTTTCGCTTGTCATCAGCACAAAACCTACAGCCCTTAAGTGTGTGTATGAACACGGCACTCATCCATAGTCTGATAAGCTCCTTACTGTGAAGGTAAAAACATTGACACATGGATAGAAAAGAAGGCATCGGGGATACCACCATAAAACTATCAACATAACGACCGTTTGTGACAACAAAAATAGCGCGTGGCCTTTGTGAAGCTGCATCAGCCAAGTGGTTGCCAGATGAGAAGTTGAGAAGGGGCCGAGAGAATTGCAGCAAACTCGATACACAAAGGTCACCGGACGTGCTACGAACTTATGGACAAGAAAAGTGGTGGGAGATCGAACCACGGTACGCGGCTCATGGGACCTTAACCGATGAAATCATAGCCACTGAACGCTGGTCCCGGAAAGCCTAACTAGAGTGCCTCAACACCGGTTGTTCGTAGTTGGTCAAACATCGGTTTCATACCACTCGCTGAGGTCACAGAGCACCTACTTTATGAAGCGGCCAAACGAAGCTGTTAGTTGGTCAGAGGCCGGTGGGAACACCGGATCAGTGATTTTGGAATACGTCGAATGGCTTTCGGAAGAAATAACTTGTCCACGATGGATGGACCGATCACACTCCATAGGTGGTGCTCGCTTGGTCACGTGCTTCGTATACCAGTAGACTAACTTCTTTTCGCACGGCTACGCGGGAGATGTAAACGAACTAGGGGAGGTCAAACAATAACTTGGCAGCGAAGTATGAAAGTCATTATCAGCAAACTCAGCTGCGCTGGTCATTGTTGTCTCCCTTGATGAGGACCCCGAGACGAGATACATCAACGGTTAGGAACATTGTTAAACAGGGCCTAGTCGGGCCCGCAAAAGCGCTCGTGCATCCAAGCTGTTGCCTTCAAAGCATAGCCTCCCTCCCGATCCCCCCAGTGAAAAGTCCACTTACACCCCCTGTATTTACGCATGAGTCATATCAAGTAGCACATACAATGCGCAGCTATCTACCTCACCTCCACAAATAACCGATAAACAAAATAAGGGCAACTAGAACCAGTGTACGGGAAGTACATGGTTGTTACAACTGATGAGAGTCTGACCGATGGATGTACGAACGAACTCACTAGTCATCATAAGCGCTGTGGTTCGAGCTAAAATGCCATGTGAAGTAAACGGCACCGGTCGCGGAAGGATTACGATGATTCTGTCTCACACTTCAAAAGCCGTTCTACTGTAGGCGGAACTAACAGATAAGCTACTAACACACCCTAGAAATCTCTGTGAGGGGAACACGAAAAACCATACACTGCAATGAAATAGTGAGGCGTTGTAATCCCGCTTACATGGATCTTCCATTTTGAACAACTGTCCTGGTTGTCGCACAGCTGGTCGTATGTTCAAATCTTGTGGTCGCATGGCTGCGGATGAGGGCCGTTTCGCATTGGACTCAAGACTAGGGGCCAGATTGGAGGAACGGTTGGGTTTAACGTCTGGGAGGACAACCACACCTGTGGACCGTCGGCCAGATTTTCTGTTGGGCCAAAGATTTCGGGCCAACCGAGCAAGTTCTAGCCCGTCCACTTCCTCATCACAGTGTGAGACAGTGGTCCCAGTCTTTTGCGAAAGAAGCTGGTTTGAATCTGGCTGATCTGAACCTGACTTGAACATTGTTGTGGTCTGCTAGGAAAAAAAGGATGGAACAAATGTTCAACGCATGAGATCACAGAGGAACACCTACCTTCAATAGCTGCGAACATCTGTTTCCCGTTTTACACACGGATTAAAGAGTATTTCCCAAATCACGCTGTTCAGCTGTGGCACACAGCTGAGATACTGCCGGATTGCCCCAGGCTAGGCAGAAGCAAGCAAAAAGGCAGGGTTATGTTCAAACCACTAAACTCCAAAACAGTAGCGGCCGGTTCGAACACTGAAGTTTCTGGATTTCAGGTGTTGCGTACATACAGTTCGAGCACTTCAGTACGGTTACCTTTTTCCACAGAGGAAAATGTCGTTAGCTCAGGTAGCGCAGATGGTGGTTGGCTTGTTCGCTGAGCTGGGCAATTTGAATGCAAACTTTTCATCACCAATCGAGGTGACATCATCAGTGCATTATTGGGGAGCGTAGTGGTGCGTAGCGGTGGGTTAGAGGTTGTGCGTTCAGTAGTCTCACGCGTGTGTTACTATACATGCTGGTAGCATGGGATGACCTTTGATCGCAATTAGTTGTTCGGTCGGGCGGTTCCATTGGTTCCATTGGCTGCTTCGTTGTCCTGTGTCCCCATTCGCCTCGTCCCCATTCAACGCACAACCACTAAACGACCGCTACGCACCACTACGTTCCCCAATAACGCAATGGTGATGTCACCTCGATTGGTGGTGAAACGTTTGCAGTCAAATTGCCCAGCTCAACGAACAAGCCAACAACCACATACAGTTATCTGTTTCGTTTAAATGAGAATGAGAATAACAGTCGTTTAGCTATAGCACCTTTTCGACGCTCAGCTGCCATGCCAAGGGAAGCAGAAACGAGGGCTAGGATAATGCCAGTTCGCCCAAGCCTAGACAAGAGTAATCGATATGCCAAGGTTGGGTTCGAACCACGAACTTTCTGGTCTGAATACTGATGCCTTAACCACTGAAATGTCTCAATCAATAAGATATGGTGTGGGATGCCCATCTCACAGTTGGAGGTCATGGAGTAGGCGGTTAACACTATTATTTCATCAAATATTGTCTGTACTATTATGAGATGAGGGATTTGAAATCCCGGGTCATATGAGGTTCAATAACACCAACGTAGAGTGAGCGGGCACTGTAGCTTAACGTCCATTTTTAGCCCTAAAGGCCACACACACACAGACAAACGCACATGCGATCACTTTAGGGAAAATCAAGTGCATCAACTGGCACTGAAATAGGTGCTGTCTACGTAGATAACTAGACTTTGATAGTGTTGTGGACCACAGCATCCCTAATGACCTCTTATTACCGTGAACCCCGGTCTGGATAGCCGATTGATAGCCTGTTGCACTTGGCCAAACCAGAAATAGTAAATGAACGTGTGAACCAGCTGATCTATTGATCACTGTCGCGTACAAGCGGGCCAAAAAAAGGATATTAAGAATACAACTCAGCTGTCAGGGGCGGGTGAAGAACAGCCAATGAAAACTGTATCAGCGGAAACGGTTATTCCACTGGCGGTTATGTAGTCCCGTCACGTTCGGAGCTGGTTCTCCTAATAGGTAGCATGCCCAGTTAGGGTAGGACTCAATTAGAATGTATACCGAGATCCGTTTTATCTTCTGTCATTTCAGTAGGATAGGCGCACACAGGCGGTCGGGGGTCATCGAGTGTATACAAGGCACCTATGATCGAGGTAGGCGCATTTGACCTGTTCAGAATAGTTCAACGATTTTATAGACCTTTGTGTGATGTGAAGAACAAATTACAAGCGGCCATCACCTACTCAGACAAAAGACAATGGCTTGTGGCTTATACCACACATAAAAAGTCTACGCTCAACAACAAACTTAAGAGAAAGCGGCGTACTTTTAGCACTATCTGCAATCTAGGTGACACTTCTATTGGGTTAATGAGGAAGTGCGTAAACATCTCGTAATCACGCTCGACGAACCCATCTCGGTACGTCTGAGCCGCAACAGAAACAAGCACTCGTATTCGTACCATGGGGGTTGAGGTAATAGGAATTATGCCTGATCGTAATGCCTGAAAACCGAATACCTCAAGTAATGTGAGAATGATGCGTTAGTTTGCGGCCAAGAGAGCTTTAGCCGAAACCACGTGAAGTCTTGACACGGACTGGGCTTTGTTCGTGTACTTCATGGGAGTGGACAAGTGGACATTACCAAGGTGGAAGACACTAGCTCGTAAAGGAGCCTGAAGAGACTACGAAAGTGAAATCACACCCTTAAAACCATGGCTATAACTATTGGTGAATTTCGCTTGGCCACCTTTCGCACTATCAACATCAGCTTTGAATGGTATTCATCAGAATCACGGTGTGAAACATGGGCATCCAAACAGAGCACATAAACACATTCGCGGATGCACACATTCCATCATTATGACGGGAAAACCCTCCAGTGACAGCATCTCCCAAAGGTTACACTCTCTTCGAACGTAAACCATTGTCGGACCGAATAGCCACGGCACTCTAAAGTAAAGATCAAGGAAGATATGTGCTTGCCCACCGCAATCCACTAACAAACTAAGCAATAAAGTAGCATAGGCAGTCATTCATGGTTGCACCAAACAGCAGTGTGCATAGACGAATAGATTACCAAAAGGTGCACATGTACTAAACCACAAGTTGCACATTCGATCGATCTGCTCCACAAGACAAAAAAAGGTTGCTCCCAAGTTGCGCATGGTGCACAAACACAAAATATCTGTAAGTTGAAATCTAGACAGTGTGTGGGCATACAATGCCCAGTAGGTGCATTGCACCTACATAGCATGGATGAAATGAAAGAGTAGAACTGAATTGGTGAAGCGATTGGTAGATGGATACCTGCCAACCGACAATAAAGTCCATGTCCTGACGATGTACGGAAAAGTTGAGCGGTGCCGAGTAAACCATTAGGCTAAAGTGAACAGAGCTCATGTCCCGCCAGAGGGGTCAGCAGTCAAGACAACAAACAAAAATTCCCGGAGATTAGGACGAGACCTGCGATTCGTTCACCGAATGACGTTCCGGTATGTTACTCCGACGCCTACAATATTTGACCGAGAGTTCTATCAAAATCTTAAACCATAAGAGTTTTCCTGAAGGATCGGGTATCCTAGCTAATTGCCCCTACAAATATATTGTAAGTTAGAACAAACGCACCATCATGAATCTAATAATGAGATTATAAAAATACGAACCTCAAATGCTGGAGCTACGCCGGTTTCTAGGCACCGATTGAGGAATTGCTAATTCCTAACGGATCCCAAAGTCCATACCGACTCAAGGCAACATGGCTTCGAGACAGTGAAATCCGCGTGTTGATTTAAACAACACGTGTGATCACAAGGTCACGAGGTCAAACCAAGGGATGATGTAGGCGCGAAACCGAAACAACAAAAACGGAGAATCACAACCAACCCACAGAGTTAAATCCGATTAGGCATTTGCCGCCACCGGTGTGAACTATTTCATTCCCTTTTTCACACGCGATGGACGACACTCGAGGAAGCGATAGGGATGTCTCTTCTCCTGTTTCAAGAATCATGCACTGCACGTCGAGGTAGCTCATTCCTTATCGACCGACTGCTTCCTCATGGCACTTTCCGGTTTTGTTAACCGCCGCAGTTCACCAAGTGAAATGTACAGTGACCAAGGGAGTAACTTCGTTGGAGTCGCACTAGAACTTCGGCAACTTATGAAATTGCTAAACTACAATCCCATTAATAATGGCCCACGGAATCGAGTAGCACCTTATGGCAGTCGCCGCGGAGTATGGGAGCGTCAGATATGATATACCCCATTGACTAAAGTAGATAGAATCAATATATCACAATATTTTGCTGGACAATCGGGTTTAAACAAAAAGGCAGTATGCCAAGTGATCAAATTTTGACGCTCGTTCCACAGCAGGTTTATTGCTCATTTCGGAGGCTTTCGTAACCAAAGCTGTGACTACCTATGAGCAAGGCACATTCGGGCTTCTGCCATGCGTTTTCTGGCCAGTCCAGTGGTCAAGAACTCAAATTTGCTGTGTGGTCAGAAAACGGACCGCGGTCATCCTGTTGACTAAGTCTCCATCCTGTTTACGCCACACGTTTGATAACTTCCCAGAAATGCGCTCAGCAGTCAATACGGTACTCCCACTTCATTGAGAAGATATTTCAAGAGTGTTAGGCGGGATTCCGCACGGATAAAGCTTTAGCACTCGCGATCAGGCATTGCTACTGCCAAGAAGCCTATCTCGCAAGTGAATGGACCGCTTGCCGGTCCAGCATCGAGGCGAGCCCTGACTGGCCGAAAGTTCCGACCCAACAGCCAGGAATGATCCAGTATCCGCCGAATGCCCGTTGCCAATGTCACATTCGGAAGGCGTCCGAATTTCCATAATTCTGTCGCCGCACATACTTCATATACGAGGCGTTGTACATGTTTTTTACTTGGTTTTGGGCGTCAATACATGTGCGTCTTTGGCGGTTGTTTGACGGGAACGCTAGCTTGGGCGGTTCAGACCGCGAACTAAGCTGAGAAAATACCGTTATTACGGGTAGTTAGCAGAAAGCCTCTTCGATTTAGTAGCACTGTAGATATAGCAGAGTAGTACTTCTCTCCACCTTTACCGTAACGACTGTTCGGTTGAACTCTGAAGCGAAACGACGCAGCCTAACACAAATGAAGCTTGCAATGGTTGATGAAACCGACCGGTGTCAACGTTTAACCCTAATTGTTAGAAAATGTGGATTTAAGAACTAATCTCAGTCCCACTTAACGGTGCATTTGAATTCGGACTGATTCTTTATCATAGTCCACGTGGTGGATTTAACTAACTGGAAGCAGTCGAGTGCAAATTGCAAATTTCCCATGGTCTTCATAGAGGATGTGATAATGATTAAACCAATGAGATCCGGATGTGAGGATGGCAACTGAAGGCAAAAGGTGTTTAGTCCCAAAAAGCTTTTTAGGATTAACCTGCCTCTATGAAGTTTGGATC